CCACGTGGGCCTGCCCGGAATGCAGCCGGGGGCAGGTTGGGGGGCACCGCGGCCGGAGCAGCTAGGGCAGAGGGCGGTGACCAGCGGCCGCTTGCAGGTTGAATCCGGGAGAGCTTGGGGCTCAGCACCCCCCCAGCCCCAAAGGGCCCGAAGGAGGGTCACCGGGAGGTCAGCAGAACAGATGTGGCTCACAAGCAGGATCAAGGAGAGCAGTCAGGGTGACCACTGACATTTATGGAGCATTTAGTGTCTGTCTCTTCGCTCCCTGAACCCATGCAACAGCCCGGTGCTGTGAGAACTCTTATCGAGCCTGTTTTCCAGATGGGGAAACTGAGGCACAGGGTCGCACAGCTTGTAAGTGGCAGAGCCAGGATTCGAACCCGGATCTCCCGGGTCCTGCCGGCCCAGAGAGGCAGGGCTGGGTGGCTGGACCCAGGGCCTCCAGCTTGGGCCTCATCTCTTCCCTGGGTCATTAGAATGTCATACCTGCCATGTGTTGGGAGACGCCAGGCCAGCAACAGCCCCACTCCTGGCCTCAGTTTCCCCTTTGATGAGATGACTGCCATGGTGCCGGATTCCCACAGCCGGTCCCTGGGAAGTGCTCAGCGCAGTGCCTGGGCACCAGCGAGCTCCCTGGGACAGGGGCTGGGGCCGTTCCTGCCCCATTTAAGGGTGAATACACTGAGGCCCTCTGCGCTCCCCCAGCAGCCCCACCCAGCCCTCCACGGAGGGAGGGGAGAGCAGAGCCCCCTCCCCGAAGGCCGTGTCCCCGGGGAGATGGTGAGCTCATGCAAGGGGAATGTTCCCAAGATGGAGTGAGTAAGAGGCAGGCCAGGCGAGGGGGGGCTGCCAGGAGAGGGGGGCCCCCGAGTGCCCTCGGGTGCTGTCTAGACAGAGGGCAGAGGAGGGAGGCAGCTCCAGGGCCCACCAACCCTGACAGCTCTGGGTGTTTGACTGATCGGGCAGGATGCCAGGCCTGGGTGGGGAGGGGGTGGTGTCCCTGGCCCACCAACCCTGACAGCTCTGGGTGTTTGACTGATCGGGCAGGATGCCAGGCCTGGGTGGGGAGGGGGTGGCCTCCCTGCAGCGGGGAGGGTGGGTGGGGGGAGCTTCCTGGGATGGGTGGGGGTTGGCAGTGGAGCAGCGTGGGGGTTGGAGCTCAGAGAGGAGGCTCCAAATCCAGAGCCCCTCGTCTCCAGGTTGGGGGCAGATCGCTCCTCCGTTAATCACCGAACACGGACTGTATGCACCCCTGGGGGGGGCGGGAGCTGGGTGAAAGCCGAGGCCTGGGTGTCAGGAGTGGCACAGGAGGGCACCTCTGGCCCCACAGGAACTGCCCCCTTGGCCACAGGTGGTGTGTGCTGGCTCCAGCAGGGCCGAGAGGCCACCTGCAGCCTGGTGCTGAGGACTGACGTGAGCCAGGCTGAGTGCTGTGCCTCCGGCAACATCGACACCGCCTGGTCCAACTTCACCCACCCCGGGAACAAGATCAGCCTCCTGGGCTTCCTGGGCCTCGTCCACTGCCTCCCCTGCAAAGGTGAGACCTTGGGCATCGGCTACAGACCTGGGCCACTGTGGGCGAAGGTGGAACAGCTGGGAGTGAGCTCCCCGTCTCGGGAGGAGGTCAGGGCTGCTGGGAGGAACCGCTGTGTAGAGGATCCCAGGCCTCAGCTCCCTCAGTTGAAGGTTCGGGAAGAAGCTCCGAAGACTCCCCAGCTTGGTTGCCCACTGCCAGCCCTTTGCTTATGCCAAGCCCTCTGCCAGGATGGCCTTCCGCACCTGCAGCCCACCTGGAAGGTGGATTTTCCCAACTGACCATTCTGGTGGCTTGTGACCCCGCACTCAGCGTTCCCTGTCTGTCCTTACCTGCCACTAACCCTGCAGGTTCCAAGAGTCTGTGGCAGGCGCCCAACTGCATGCTTAATGAGCACGCGCCTCCTGACCATGTGCTCAGCAATGCTGCCTCCTCCATCAGGCTAGGAGCTCTTTGAGGGCTCAATGAGTATGTTGAGATATATTCCCTGCCCTCTCGGGCACCTGTGGTCAGGGCTGAACCCACAGGGACCCAGAGGGAGTGTGGGGACACAACTTGGAGGTGGGCATGAGAGCCAGGGTGCTGGGGGGATGATTAGGAGTTCATCAGCTGGACAAAGTATGGGGGAGAGCATCATCGGCAGAGACCATGGCCTAGGATGAGGTCCTGGTGGGTGGGGTCAGGGCAGGGGAGTAGGGAGAGGCTGGAGCTGAAGGCTGCAGACCCGAAGGCCAAGCTGAAGAGCCTGGCTGGCCGCTGGGATGTGATTAATCCCAGATCAGCCTGGCTGGGTGGTCCTGAAGTCACTGCCACATGCCCTGACTCAGTCCGGGACCCCTTTGGCTTCTGGGAGGTAAAGGACTTCAGAAAGTGCCTGGCGGGGGCAGGAGATGATCCAGGACACACACCCCCACCCCCACCAATCTGGCCTTGGGGAGGAGAACTCAGCCCCCCACAGACGCTTCTGTCCCCTCTTGCATGAAGCCACAGGGGCGGGTGGAGCATTTCCAGATGTGCGTGTGGGTGGAGGCGCCCAGGTGCAGCCCACATGCCCTGGCAAGGCAATCCGCGGCGGCGACGTGCGCCATTCTGCCAGGAGCATGCGCTCATTTCATGCTCGCCCTGTAAGGTGGGTCCCGTCAGCCCAGCTTTACACACAGGGACACCGACGCTGGAGTGCTCAGAGTTTTCCCTCCAGACCCACAAGCAACAGAACTAGGGGGCCCATCTGGGATCATGCTGAGGTGCCCTGGCTCCCCTCCTCACAGTTGTGACAGGCCTCAGTTTCCCCCTTTTGGAAAACAGTGACAGAACGACCTCTTGGTGTGGTTGGAAGGCTGCTATGAGGCTGGGAGGGCCCGAGAGGAAGGGGGCGGCCCTCAGTGGGGTCTGATTTTTCACCTCCAAAAGCCCGGGGCCTAAGTGAGAACGGGGACGCGAGAGAGACTACCCCGGGTCAGCCTTGCTTTCCTACCCGAGAGCTGGGGCTACTCGGAGTGGGTAACCCCTGATTCAGATGGCCCCCTCCCCAGGAAACGATCTTCAGGCCAGGCGTCAACGCCTCGCCCTCCCCGTCGCCTCCTCCGGGGAGGTCCTGGCAGGCTCAGGGAACAGACGCTGCCTGTCCTCCCCTGTCCCGCGCCTGGACGGGGTGGAGCCCCCCACCCCACCCGGGGCTGACGCAGCCGGGTCCCCCGTCGGCCTTCCCAGAAACGCGCGTAAATCAAGGAACAAACGTCAGCCCGAGCCCATGGCCCAGCTGCGCGGCGGGACGGGGGCTGGAAGCCCGCCCCTGGACCCCCAGATTCGGGGCAGAGACCCCCGCTCCGCCCACACCGAGTCCCGCCTCCAGACACAGTCCCCAGCCCCATGCGCAGCGGTCCACCGGGGCCGTGGCCGAATCTCGCCCACAACCGACCCCGCAGCCAGACCACAAATCAGTCCCGGTGCCGTGCGCCCCGACTCCGCACCGCCCCCCACTCCAGCCCGGCCTCTAGCCCTCAGAACAGGGGACGGGTGCGCCGCGGGCTCCGAGGACCTCCAGCCGCCGCCGCGCGCCCCAGCCCACGCGAGCGCGCGTCCTGTGCTCCGCAGATTCGTGCGAGGGCGTGGAGTGCGGCCCCGGCAAGGCGTGCCGCATGCTGGGCGGCCGCCCGCGCTGCGAGTGCGCGCCCGACTGCGCGGAGC